TTAAGGAGCCTGTATTAGTTGCTCTAGTATTAACAAACATAGTTTGAGAATTCATATTTTAAAAAGGAGGAAAGACATACCAAGTTTTGCTAGCTCGCCAACTTCTAGCACATCCTTGTAGAATTTATCATTATAGCTGACTGGAAAGATGACCTGGTTCAATCTCTTCAACTGTTTAATATTGTGTGGTGTCACATCCCCCAATTCGATCCGGCTACTGGAACAAACCAAAATGTACTCAATAAAAGATAATTAACTTGATTCATTAAGATACTATTAAAAGGGTACCAATCATTTTTGCATGACTGACAAATGCAACCCTTTCTTATTACTTTATATTCTTAAAACACTACCACTTATAAGCAAATTTTGTCGAATGTTCAACCAAAATTCTACTTAGAGCTTTTCTACAAATATACACATTTAGGGACAAAAAAAGTACACACTAACCAATAAGGCCAGAATATTATCCTTTAATAAATACTAAAACTGTTCTTCTAGTTTATAGTTAAAAAATGTAGATATAACTATTATTGATAAACAGACTGATAATATTAACAAAGGGATAGGAAATGGTACTAAAGAGGAGAATATAAATTCGTACACTATTTCTTGAGACAATCCAGCACTAAGCATTGAGAAACCTGCCCATCTCCTTTGCTTACGTAAGCAGAAAATAAGTCAATTGTGAAAAATTATTCGCATTTTATTTATTATTTGCATTTTAAGTATTGAGAACAGTGATCCAGTAACAATAACAGTGGTAAGTGATATTAAGGATTCATATTCCAGCACATCTCAGTTTCAGCATGAGAATTTCAGAAAACAGAACAAGTACATAGGGACTTCAAAAAATAAGGAATTAAAAGAGAGCTCAAGATTCACTGATAATGAAACTGTTCTGCCTTGAAAAGTAGTCCACAACATAAATTTCTAATAGCTTAAATAACTTTTACTACATACTAAAAATAAATCTGTTGAGGCAAACCCTGCTGGAAATCCACACAACAGTTCATTCCTAGTACTACCAGCACTACCAGCAGACACTGAAAACTCTTTTCTTGTGCTGGAAATCAAGCCCAGGGCCTCCTTCACGCTAGGTAAGTGCTCTTTCAGGAGCTACAACCACAGCCCCATTTACCCTCTTTTTATCTTCTGTTTAAGATTAGTTTTTATTTATGTTTATGTGAGTGTATGTATATTTGAGCCTCCTGGCCATAGAGGTGTCAAATCCCCGAACCGCCACGTGAGTGCTGGGAACCAAGTGTAGTTAGGTGCCCTTATGCTAATAACCTGTTCACAGTGGATGGCATAAACAATAAAAAGTACTAAGACAAAATAAGCATTAAGGCCGGGTGGTGGTGTCACACATCTTTAGTCGCAGCACTCAGGGGCAGAGGCAGGAAGATCTCTGAGTTTGAGGCCAGTCTGGTCTACACGGTGCGTTTCAGGATAGTCAGGACTGTTTCACAGAGAAACCTTGTCTCAAAAAAAAAAAAAGAATAAAATAAAAACAAACAAACCTCTTGCATTCACTTTAGTCAGACTATAGGGCAAACTGCTGCCATTGAAATCACTGAACCTTGTGAACTTAATGTTACTCAATGAATTCTGACATTGTAGAAAGACAGAAATGTGTTCACCTATTAACTACTATAGCACTTTCCTAACAAAAACTTTCAAATTTTAATTTTCAACCTCCAACTCTATCAAGTATTCCAATTTTTAAGTCTGTTTTTGGTGTGTCTCTGTACAACAAATACTACATGTACCTGTACGGCTATTTGTATAGAAATCAAATCCACGTGCTTCCACTGAGCGAGCTTTCATCCTCAAAATTAAAAAAAAAAAAAATTTACTGGCAATATTCAGAAAGACCACAAGATGGAGATGAGACTCTCCAAGAAATGTTCTCCCCAGCATCAAGGCCTGACTTAGTTACACAGCAAAAATAAAGTGCAGGCAAACTCTCTATACCTGCTTATTCATTCAATAGATACAGCATAACTTGAAACAAAATTTTAACTAGTCATTTTTTGTTCAGAATTTCATGTTGAAGGTGCCTTAGAATCCACTGGGCCCATTCCACTTCCCTTCATAGAGATAAAACCAAAACTCCAACAGAGAATATGCTCGTAGGAAACAGTATAAAGCTAGGAATCAAGCATTTCTAGGAATTTTTATTATAATGAGATCAGTCCTATCATAGTCCCTCAAAGGAATCATCTTTGTTCCTTAAGGTTAAAGAGAAGGGTGTGTGATGTGTGCTGGTAAGAGTCCACTCACACCGAACATTTGGAATACTTGATTAAAGCATTATTTAATAGAGATCAAAATATGGCTGAAGTCAATAAAAATTCAAGACATTAGATTTTCCCTTTTGGCTAGTGGGAATCTTAATCTAAACCACGTCCTTCAGTAAATGACACAAAAGGTCAAAAGCACAGTTTAAATACCATGGTGGTTTGAATACCTATGGCTCCCACAGACTCATGTGTTTGATTGTTTTGCATTATTAGCAAGTGTGTCACTGTGTAAGCCGGCTTTGAGATTTTTATAAGCCTGGCTAGTAGGACACAGACTCCTTATGTGATGTGGGATGTCCTTCTGTATATGTGTTGCTTTTACTGGTTGATGAATAAAGCTCTTTGAGCCAATGGCATAACAGAATAAAGCCAGGTGGGAAATCAGAACAGAGATAGAGAGAGTAGACAGAGTCAATGAGACACCATGTACTGCCGAAGGAGGTTGCCAGTAGGCCACAGCCTTGTGGTGATACACAGATTTATAGAAATGGGTTAATTTAAGATATAATAGTTAATAAGTCTGAGCAAAGGTTAGACAGTGTTGTAATTAATAGTTTCTGGGTGATATCCAGGTCTGAGAAGTCAGGAAACAAACAAGCAGTCTCTGCCTACACTTCTGTTCTCCGTAGATCAAGATGTTTAACTTTCAACTCCTTCTCCAGCACCATGTCTGTCTGTGTGCCACCATGTCCCACCATCATGACAATGGACTAAACCTTTGAACTATAACCCATCCCTAATTAAATGCTTTCCTTTAAAAGAGTTGCAGTGGTCATGGTGTCTCTTCACAACAACAGAAACTGTAACTAAAACAAATACTAACTATCCAAAAGACTTTTCTCTTTACTAAAATTCCTACCTCACATAGTACTCTATGTTTGTCTGTCTTCCCCGTTCCCAACCCACTTAAAGACAGGGTTTCATGCAGCCCAAGCTGGCCCAGAACTTGTTTTTTTTTTTTTTTTTGTAGCTGAGCATGACCACAAACTTCCAGATCCTCTTCCCAAGTGCATCAAAAAAGTCCTGGCTAGGCATTACTTTTATATAATCTTTTCTACCTAAGGCCACTTGGTTGCTGGGTTTGGGCTTCTCATAAGATCTCTCAATCTTATAACTACTGACATTTTGTATTGAATACACCTTGGGGATTGGGACTGCACATCTTAGGATGTTTAACTGGATCAACCTTTAGCTTCTACCCATTAGGTGTTATCTCTTTTCTCTATCTTTATGAATAGCCTCACCTTTAATCCTGCCAAGTCTCTCGTTATTTGAAACTGGGTCTCATGTAGTCCAAGCTAGCCTTGAATTTCCAATCCTCCTGCCTCTATCTCCCTGGTGATGATTACCAACATGCTATGCTCATACTAAGTCTTTAAAACTCACTTTATTTAGGCTGGAGAGATGGCTCAACAGTTAAGAGCACTGGCTGCTCTTCCAGAGGTGCTGGTCAATTCCCAACAACGAATAGTGGCTCACAAAAACTCACCATATTCTTCTACTCACAGCATACTTCAAATTTAGAGTCTAGCACTCCCAGGAAACATTTTATATATATTAATATTTAGTAAAATTTACAGATCTATATATCTAGTTTATGTCAAATATGCTTTAAAATGCCCCAAGACTAACATTTAAAATTTAATTTAAACTATGGCTCAGCAGTTAAGAGCACTGGCTATTCTTTCAGAGGACCTGGGTTTGATTCCTGGAACCACATGATGGCTCACTACATTTTATAACTTCAGTCTCAGGGGCTCAACATCCTCTTCTAGCTTCCATAAACCAGGCACATCCATAAACCAGGCACATTCATGGAGCAGACATAAATGCAGACAAAACACCCATACACATAAAAGTAAAATCTTTTTTAAAAATTGAACTAAACTTAAAAAATTTAGCCATACAAAAATATTCCGACTGCTCAATGATTATTAACTGTGGCTATCCACTACTGCATCAGACAAGCCTAATAACTTTATTAGTAAGTTAGACACCGTGCTTTAACTAGTTGAAAGAAAATCAAGAGGAAGGCAAAGTAACAGCACTACTGTGTTACAATTCTGTACCTTAAACTACAATTTTAGAATTGAAAAGCGTTCTACAGCTTAGTGTAAGTATCCTATTCACTACTGAAGACTAGGTTTAAAACAAGAAGGAAAATTATTTGAATACCTGAAACACATGCCTCTTCAAATGCCATGAAATTGAAAGCTATAGTTAACACCTGGAGGACAAAAATCAAGATTTCTACAGAATAAAAGAGCAAGGTAAAATTAAATATTAATTAGTTTGGTCTGGCGAGAGCACTACTGACTTTGGAAAATAACACTTCACAAAATAAGTTTTTTATCTGACAAGAGATTTTATCTAACAACAATTAGGATGTAATGATTTAAAGCTTGGCTACAAATTATGATAACAAGAACAAAATTTATGTAAATGATTATGATAAAACAGAAAAATCATGTAAGCACTTAGCCTCCTGAATGATCCTTTAAAAAAAAAAATCTTGGGCTGGAGAGATGGCTCAGCAGTTAAGAGATTCCCAGCAACCACATGGTGGTTCACAACCATCTGTAATGAGATCTGGTGCCCTCTTCTGGCCTGCAGACATACATGCTGACAGAATACTGAGAATACTGTATACATAATAAATAAATAAATAAATCTTTTCTTTTTTTCTTTTTTTAGTGTCTCGAGACAGAGTTTCTCTGTGTAGCTTTGGCACCTGTCCTGGAACTCGATCTTAGACGAGGCAAGCCTCGAACTCAAAGATTCGCCTGAAAAATTCTTAAATGTAGAAAAGTTTTTAAGACAGTGCCTCATGTATCCCAAGCTGGCATTAAACTTACTGTGTAACCTTGAACATTGATACTTTCATCTCTGTGTGTACCACCATGTCTGGTGCTAGTGTTTCATGCTTGCTACCAACTGAACCCAATCCCCAAACTCACAGAAACCACTATTTGTTTTTTATAGCAATATCACACCCAGCACTCACCAATATGCATACCTCTATAGGTAGAAGGTATACTTTAAAAAACACACACACACACACACAATTATACTTCAGACACTATTTCAAAACTCTCAACATAGCAAAGGAGACTTGACAACCAGTTTTATAGGTACACAAGATTCATTCTGTAACCAGGCTCAGTAGCAAACAGCTACTCAAGAGGAGACAGGATCTGAAGGTTTGGAGCCAACCAGCCTAAGTCCATAGTGAGATGAGAGGGACACAGACACAAAAATGTCACAAATCTTTACAGTTTCGTTTAAAAAAAAAAAAAAACAAACTTATATTTCCTATGTAATCAACACCTAGATAGAAATACAGAAAACTTTCTGGGTCTGTCCCCAGTCCATACACTATTGGAGAGAACCATTATTCTGTGTATGTCAACATAGTTTCGTTTCTAACTGCAGAATCCTGTTCCACTCCCATCCAAATACTAACCAGGCCGACCCTGTTAGTTTCCAAGATCAGATGAGATCGGGTGCATTCAGGGTATGGCCATAGACTCTGTTCCACTCTATAACAACATCTAACCAAGTTTCAATTAGAAACCACACTGCTCTGTATTTAATATTATTCCTACCTACCATTTCATTTTTATTTTGGTCACTTTAGTATTCACATCTTGTTTAAAGAAACTAATCTGCATCTCCTTTAGCTTTATTTTTCAATTGCACTGATAACTGACTGCGCTGCCTTAATATCATCTTAGATATTCCTAGAGAGGAAGAACATATAAAAGTAACCAGCTTACCGACCACAAATCCAAGCCATAATTCCCTTGGTTCATAAAAACAAGAAATCTCAGGTGAAATAGCCAACAGCCTATACTTCTCATACTTCAAATATGCATATAAAAACATATAGCAACTATCAACTGCAAATTTGTCTACTATAGAGATAAGAAAAATACATTATTTATAACAGGATATCCTACTGCTGTTGATAATAAAAATAACAACCGTAAAAAAAATAAAATATTTAAAATAGTAAACTTAAAGTTTGTTTCAACACCCAAAATTTAAATCCTAGAGGGTTTTGGTTTCCCACTTCAGAGTCAACTACTTAACTGTTTTTGGTAAGCTCAATAAAAAGGGAAAACTTAGCAAATAAAATTTCAAACAAAAACTACAAAATAGGACCACTGCTTTGCACAGGTCTTTCTAATGAAGTCAGGAGATTGAACACAGTGCAGTTGTACAAGTTTTGGATCTCAAGGACATTAACATCTCAAACAAACAAGAACTGTACTACACCATTATTTCATTTCTTTAGTATCTTAAAAGGAACAAAGAGGAAAATTTAAAGTCCCATGTTTGTTAGAAGTTAGTTGTCGAAAATTAAAGAACTATACCTATAAAAACATCTTGAAACTGTTTAGTCCAGAACACAATTCTAAGCTCCCAATTGTGAGAAATAAAAACCTTAAGGAATCTTAATTTTGAGCATGCTTACTGGCCTAAACTGTAGTTTTGTCTAAATTTGTCCAGTTCCTCATTTCTAGACATCTGCCTCCATAATGTTACATGTAAATATCTGTTTAAATAAATAGAACCAGCTAGTGCTGGTGGCTCAGTTTGCAATACTAGCTACTCAAAAAACTGAGGCCAAGAACATTGTTGCCAAGTTCAAGGCTGGCCTGAGCAACATAGAAGACCCTATCTCAAACTAAAGTGCTGGGGGTTATAGATGAGCGGCTGAGTGCTTTCCTTCAGGTCCCAGAACTTCAGTAAGTAAAAGAAAGCTACTCTAATAGTACACTTAATAACGAGTTCAAACAGACTGATAAGAACCCCACTGTGTGGCTCCATTTCTACTGTCAAATTAGGTATCAGAAAGATTACATCCTATGCCTAGAGAAACTGAACTAGATCCAAGTTTTTTAATCTAAACGTCCAGAATAATTTTGGACTCATTATCTTCATTGCTATTACTATAACAGAACATGACAAATATGTATTGAGTATCAATAAGAAAGAGAGACAGCATCAAAAAAGTCATACACTACTAGGAAAATAAAACTTTTCCTAAAGATAGTTGGATCACCTATTTTAAAATTAGCCAAATGTCCCGGATCGTGACTCAAGCGGCGCAAACATTCCAACACATGCAAAAAAAAAAAAAAAAAAAAAATCAACACTGAGTAACCAATATCTAAAGCAAAAAGTATTTTATATGTAGACCTAAAAATCAAAACTCAGAATAGTTTGAGTTTTAAGACGTATAGATAAATGAAATGACCTTTATTTTACACAGAACGAGTTTGGAGAAATGATATATTTCGTTCTCCAAAAAGGATGCTGATTCAAACAGTTCAACTAACTGAAACAATAGTTCTAATTTTCAGCCTACTTAGAAAAAAAAATCCTTTCGGTATTTCATAAAGTTTAACATGTTTAAGCTTTCATCTCTTTCTCTGAAGATTGTAAAGGCAACCTCCAAAACAGCTTGCTTAAGCAACGTGTTAGCGCGGCGCTAATACGGTAACAGTTTATAAATCGATACGGGAACAGTTAAACCAAAACAACTCCTAACGTTACCCAAGATTTGAAAAGATCAAACCTCAACTTTGCTAACCAGCAGCAAAAAGCTGCTCCGTGGACTCGGGGCAAACACGCTCCCGAAGCAATAGCTCCACCTACTGACCCACGATACTTCCTTAAACATTTTGGCACCCCAAAGTCCCCGCGGCTCGAGTTCGTTCCCCCTCCCTCCCTCCTCCACTCGCTCTGACCCAACCCAAATCTCGTTGAGTCACTAGCTCCCAACACACATCCCCATGCTCTTTATTCCAATTCCTTTTCCCTCCAGAAGGTTCGGCACAGCCCACAAATATGAAGGAAAACCGAAACGTGTCAAAGCCCGCATACGGATCAGCACCTGAGTTGGCTCGGTCGTGCGCTCCCGGGAAGAGGCCCGGGGCGCCCACGATCCCTCCTCCCGTTGTCCCACTCGGGGCACCCTCGTCCCCGGGGCTGGATTCGTGGACTCGCGCCCTTGCCTCCGCTGGCCCTGCAGCCCGCCAACAGCCGGCCTAAGCCTCCGCCCCCTCCCGAAGCCGAGTGACCGAGGAGCCTGGCGAAGTCCCCCCCGGAGGCCCAGTCTTGGCGCGAGTCTCTCCTCGCAGGCAGCGCTCTCCCGGTTCGCCGGCCCACGCCCCTCTCCCCTGCCCGCCGGGCCCCCGCCTGCTGCCCTTCTCCCTTCCTCACCCTTTCATCTTCCCCGCCTGCTGAGGCCGTCGTTACAGCCGCGACCAACGCCGTCGTCCTCGCCGCCTGGAGCACTCCGCGCCCTGCGCTCAGGCCACTCGACCCCACATGCCGGCCTCTCGGCGGAGGGAAAGGGCGCCGAGGAGGCCACGGAAGCCAAGCCGGGCCCCGAAGCTCCGGGGAGACGCGGGAAGGTCCGCCGCCGCGCTGCTGCCGCCGCTCCGCCACACGTGCACACGGGACACTCGGCTCCCGCCCGCAGCTGCCGCCAGCCAGACCCGCCGCCGCGCTGTGACCTTTCACCCCGCCCCCTCAGCGCGCCGGCGCGGTCGCCGCGTCGCGCGCAGCCGCAGTGCTCCGTGTTGCGCGCCCTTCCCCCC